TCAAGGTAGTAGAATGAAAACAAATAGAGAACAAGCTTCCAACAGAATATGCTCGTAGGCGCAAATTACAAGACATTATGAGAGAGACAGAATGCGAATAAAATAGACAGAGAATAAGAGGTATAGTGACTGAGATTAACCTGAAGCATATGCGATAACACCAGATGGAGAGAATTGAAATAAACCAAACCATAGTGAGAGATAAGAGTCTTCGGTGCTTGGAACCCGAATCTGAACCCGAAGCTTCTTCCTTAATATGAGCTGAATTTCCTTAATGATAGTTTGAATCGGTCAATTGATTGAAGAATGTAACCAAAGGTTCCTCTCCTTCCAAATCTCGTACACTAAAGCTTGAAATAAAATCAAGAAAAAAGTTTCCAACTTCCTTGAAGAGGAGCCCCTTGCAATCTATGTAACCGCTTCCAATAGATTATCTAGAGGGATAAAGATATGGTGATTGAAAATACCTTTGTATACCTGAGAAGAGAATGAGCAATTATAAAATAAGTGCAATCGAGATTTCGGAACCGCATCGTATAGTAAACAGACAGAGGGAACCACCAAACCCCATTGCAACATCGTACTCTTGTAAGAATTTTGTCCATTTTTAGCAACCACAAGATAAAAGAGTGCTTGAGAATGTAGTTAGTGAACCACACCGAATTACTTCAACCAACCAAAGCTGTTAGATGATGAAGTTTTGTCCATGTCAAGGAAGTCTAGAAATGTCATGGATGACCAACGAAGGTGTTTCTCCATAAGAAGACATATGGATCATAATTGTTGAATAAGGAGGTGTTTGGAAGGCAGTCCACAAGAAGAAGAATAACGCGATGCCTCCCTCTTGGTAGCCCCCAAACATTCCTTTGAATAGCTTGAGAAACTGTGGCTTAACGAGGGATTTCGACACTCTTGGATCATTAGGTCTTGATAACTGTTGGGGCCAGGTTTCACCCCAGCGAGATCAATATCCGAAAATGACTAAGTTTTTGTCTTGGGACGAACTTGACAGCAAGACTGAATGGCAAAGCGACGAGGCCGAGTTCGCAGTAGAGCGATGAGACCGAGTTTGCAGTAGAACGACGAGGCCAAGTTCGCAGTGTCACAAAGCCAAGTTCATAGCAGAGGAACGAGCCCAAATTCACGGCAAAGCGACGGGCCGAATTCATAACAGAGCGACGAGGTCATTTAGCTGAATCTTACAAATTCATTCACTTACGAAATAAATAAAATTGTTTCAGGTTAAATCACCGAAATAATTGAAAAAAGTAATATGAAATAACTAAATTTAAAAAAAGAAAAATAGTTTTAAACTAATGAATTAATATTAATCGGTTGAATAACCGTAACGTTGTTTTACTTTATTATTCAGAATAAAAAGTAATTATGCTTTTTTCTCTATATAAATAAAATAGCATACAAATGTAAGAAAAACAAATAATGACACACATTAAAAGATTGGAAGATGTTTTTTCTGAAGAACATTTATACGTCAGCGTTTTACTTGACCTTTTCATTTGAATAAAACAGAATCAGAGGAATTCCCACTTATTCTTTTAACAATTATCTAGTGAAATATAACAAAAATTCAGCTACATTCCTCATAATTCTTCAATTCTGCTGGTACCAGTAAGGGCCTAAGCTCGGTCAGAGTTAAGCATGTCAAACGGGCTAACCCGACCTAAAACCCGCAAAACCCGCATATAAATAAGTCCAGCCCGGCCCGGCCCGAAAAATAATCGGGCCTATTTTTCAAAGCCCGGCCCGGTCCGTACAGGGCTTTAGGGCTATTACGAGCTTTTTAGGATTTTTATGCTAAATAGTACTTGCAATATAAAATCGA